ATGCTGTATACTTGGTGCCATTCTACCCATCTCCCTGCCAACCTCTTTATCCATATATTTAGCTTCAAAGAGAGCTGTGTGAGTTGTTTCCATTTACCTAACTTGACCTGCTCCCATTGGTTTATCCCCAACTCTTCAAGTCTCATGCTTCTCTTAAATGCTTTGTTTGTTTCCTTCTAGCCAACCTAAGAGCTCTCGTCCTCCTAACAAGAGGAAGACATTCACAGGGGAAGATGAGAAGGGAAATATGGATCATCTTACCTCTCTGTCTTGCCTCTCTGTCTCCTTCCTTTGCAGTCTTCTCCACCATGTAAAGTGCCCTTAGGTTCTCCCGGGACACCTTATGTTGAGCGCCCAGAACCCTCACTCATGTTGGCCAAAGTTTGTTCATCAAGTTGTGATCCAGGGGGCCAGGTGCATTAGAAGCTGTTGAGCGCTTGTTTAAATCCAGAATCTCAGCCCTAACTCAGATCTGCTGATGCAGAACCTACAATTTTTTTTCAATTAGTAGTTCTTTTTTTTTTTTTTTTTTTTTTTTAACCAGATCTGGGGGGATCCCTGCACACAGTGAAATTTAAGAATCACCAGTAACAGGACTGTGTTTTCCATGGGAAATGGGACAGTTAGTTGCATCCAGACAACTGTTGGTCTCTGGGACAGTGTTAACCTGAAACATCAGCCATAAATGTTCGCAGACTTCCTCCTTGGGCAGTACCTCTCCTCCAGAGCTGATCTGAGACTAGAAACCAGGCCAAGAACCCCACTTCCCAGGAACAGGAAGCAGATTTAGGGATCCTCCCTTGCACAGGTGTGAGATAGAAATGTCCCCCAGCAAGATTTTCCTCTTCACTGCTTTCATTGCCCCCGTTACGCTTGTCTCCATGGCTCCGCAATTAAAAGGAGCGTGAGGGAGTCATGGAAGCACATTGAATTGTAATCTTCACATTATCACAGGATTTGACACAGGTCATCAAATGGATCATCACAACGACACTTCATCAACTGTGAGAGTTATTGATTCCAAAAATACTGTTCCAATTTTACCCTAAAATCCCTTTGGGTAACTATGACCTATGTTTCTAACACCAAAGTATAAAAACCCTCTCAGTTAACTTCTACAAAGAAACAAAGCAAAAGCATGCCCCATCCTTCTCTTTGCTCTCGAGGTTGCTTCAGAAACTAAAGGATCTTGATTCTAATGTAAAGCAGCAAGATGGAAGAATTTAGCTGAAATACTATTTGCTAACTATTTTGAATAAAATCATTCTAGGCCAGTGGCGGGGGTAGTAGTATTTTAATCTCAAATAAAGAGCTGAAAACAAATTTGAATTGAAAAATAAAAGGCATTTTCATGGGCCTCCCCAGTGGCGCAGCGGTTGAGCGCTGGGTTGCGAAGCTGCCCGCAGCCTCTGCAGCGCAGGTTCAATCCCGGGCTGCTCCCCGGCCACTGGAGGAGGGACCCACATGGCGCGCAGACCTCTCCTGCCACCCGCTGCTCCCCTCAGCAGTGTACTTGGGTCCTTCTGCCTGCTCTGCTCCCCGCTCTGGCTCTGGTGAATTCTCTCACCCTCCCGCTCTTCTAACTGTACCCAGTGCTTGTATGTATAAATAAATAAATAAATCTTTAAAAAAAAAAAAAGAAAAGAAAAAGAAAAGGCATTTTCATTTTAGGGACAGCAAAGCAAGCTTTTCTTCAATCAGAGGAATTAATAAATGATAGTTTAGGTGTTCTTGTAGCAGAAAATATTTACGTGGGAATCAAGAGTAAGAACCAGGAGCTTGGAGAAGTCTCAGGACCAATTCATCAAAGAGACCCAGGGGATCCTACACCTTATGATCTAGAATAGGAAGTTCTATTAATCTGCTTTTCTGTATGAGGATGTCCCAAGGAATGTTTCCAGAACTTTCTTCCATGGAGTGGACTAGATTTCATGGTCAATGAAGTTTGGAAAACAACAAAGTTAAAATTTCAGGTCTTTATGAGAGGCTTCTCAGAGCCTCCACTGGGTTCATGTGAGTTATGACTCTCCAAGAGACCATAAGTAGCCCCGAAGACCTGTTTTCATAGAGACCTCCAGGGAAGTCCTTTGATAAATGCCAGGGCACGTTGTTGAGTAGCAAAAGGGATGGTGTTGCACATTGAGTTGATGAGGAACAGTATTACTGACACCAAGATGGAGAAATCTGTGACCAATACAGTAAAGGGCCCCATTCCTCAAGGACCTAGTGTGGAATTAAGAAGAACAGCCAGCCAGCTCCAGGACCAGCCATGGAGCAAGAAAAATGTGACAGAGACCAATGAGCACAAAGCCAAGTTGGGGATGAGAGACCCTAAGCTACTCACACATTCCACCTGAGGCTTTTACCCCTGCCCCCAACAGTTGCATATCCACAGTGTCCGATGGTGTGTACCCCCTCCCACCAGGTAGTCCCTGGGAAGGTGAACATATTATATTAAATACCTACATAGAAGCATTATTTAAATGGTTGCCTCGGGTATCGGGGTTTTCTCAGAAGGCATGAGGCAGGTCTTGCTAATTGTCATGTCTTTTAACACATCCAGCCTGACCTTTTGCTGACAGCTACCCTCTCCTCCTTAGAAGCAATGTCTAACATGTTAGCCAAATTGCTGCATCTGTTTCTGAAAAGACTCTGGGTGTTTGAACTGAAATCTGTGGGATGACTTTTCAGAAAGGAATCTTACAAGAGGCTCCTCTGGCCTCTGAGGCGTGTTCCTGTTATGGAGGGATGGATGTCATGGGGGAAGGAGGCTTAAAGAACATCTAAATCAATCAGCAAGGGAGCCACTAGGTCATCCTCCCAACCTTTGAAAATTGGATGAAATGGCTGAGGGCTGGCGGCTCTGTAATTTGGCATCTAGAAAGATGTGGTTGGTCTCCCAGGCCACTTAGCTTCAGCCAGAGATCAATTCAAATTGTGAAATACTGAGGAAATGTAAAGTTCCAGTTCAAGGCATAATCCCACATGGCACCAGCCATAACATGCTCCTGAAAGAGGTTGTCCATGCCTGAACTTCTTGTGAAAGTGCCAACACAGAGCAGAAAAGCAGGAAACAGCTCTAGAAAGATGTGGCCTGCCTTTCTTCCTTCTCCCTTTTGTCACTGGGTGGGGTGTGTTTCTCTTGGGGTCATTTGTGTCCAATTAAATGATTATCTCTGGAACGTTAGGACTGACTCTGTTGCTGAATTAAGTTGTAGCGCAGTAAAACAAGCTCTTTGATGCCTTTCCTAAATTATAATTTAATGTTTAAAAATGTAGCTCTTGATGTTTGTTATCAGTTGTTTTTTGTAAAATGGAGAAAGTTTCATTTAAATGTTCAATGGTACAGTTGGCCTCATTCTAGTCTACGGTTTATAATTCATAAATATCATTTATTATGATCCTCAAATTGTTCCAGATTGGGCCAGTGGAAAAAAATATGTATGTAGAGTTAGACATGTAAATCAGGGGACTTCAACCAGGGGAGACTTTGCCCCTCGTGGGGCATTTGACAATGACTGATATTTTTGGTTTTCATATCTTAAGGTTGAAGGAGGGATGTGGGAACATCTTACTGTGCCTCACTTTTCTCAACTGTTAAATGGGGATTAAGATAGCCCACCTAGTAGAGTTTGAATTAATACATGTACCTTGTACTTAAAAGAATGGCAGTGTTAAGACCTAGTCTCTGTAGTCATCAACTGATTCAACTCTTGTTGATTCACTAACACCTAGGATGACAAGCTGCTTGGCCACAGCCAGCAAATTGGGAGGAACCAGTCTTAGAACCTGGGCTTGCCTGGTTGATGTCATCCCCTGTGTATGCCTGTGTGTATCTTTCTTGCCCTTCAGCAGAGGGCATCTCCACTGAGTTCCTCTCTGACACAGGTCATTGGGTTTGGAGACCACAGGGGTACAGAAGGAAGGATCTGTATTTCCTTCTCCTGTTTCTGTGTTTGGTACTTGATCCCTACTCCTGGGCTGGACACTGGGGGTCTTCAGTTAGTGCGTTGGCCTCACTGACCAGCATCAGCCAGGCATGTTTTCCTAATTTTTGCTTCCATACATTCAGAACATGAAAGGGTGCTGTGTTTTACCACTTGTGTGAAAACTGTCTGCTCACTCCCTCCCCTACCTCCAGATGTTATAAAATGAAACCCAACTTATTTATTTTAGAGTAGTCTATTACACTTCAGTGCATTTTTCTAAAATCCACAACTACTACAATATAAAACATGTTGCTTATTTTTGAAATGGACAGGTCAGCCATGAATTATCGACTCCACCTCAGTATAAGCATACACCTGAAAACAATTCAGCTCATACTTCTGTTGTTTGGGATACTTCAAGCCTCCCAGGTAGAAGACAGATATTTATTTCATATTGATGACAATATTTATTATCAAATACAGTTCCAGGATCTCCTCCAACCCTTGTGGGGGTGTCTGTCTGACTCTTATTGAGGGTTAAGGTAAATAAAACGTTCAATTCTTTGCTTTATGACTCCTGGAAGACTATAACCTCCAAGAGAAGAACTAGATCAGTAGAGATGCTCTCAAGGAAAAAAACTTGCACTTAATACCTGCTTTGATAAGCAGATTGCAGATTAAATAAAACCTTTTTTTCCTTCTAATACATTTACCATTTTTGTAGATTATGTAATATTTATTATTACAGAAAAATTAGAAAAGACATAAGCACATATAGGAGAAAATAAAGATCATCCATAATCCCACCTTATAGTCAAAACAAGTATTAACATTTATAGTCTTCCCATCAGAGATAGAGCAGTACATCCATGGACTGATATGGAGAGAGAGATGTAGATTACATGTATGTACACGTAGAAGTTTTCCATTAAAAAATGGGGTCATACTGTGAAATAACTTAGCAGATTCCGATTCTCTGTATGTGTTTTGTTATGTCAAAATGAAAGCATTTTCTCATGTCATTAAATATTCTCCTACCATATGGGGAATAAATCTCTCTTGTTTTGACAGGACAGTGATATTGAAGCTCTGGTCAAGTGTTTGGAGAACGTCTTGGGTTGTACCTCTCTAGGTGAGTCACCTTCTTCCGATTCCAAAATACTGTGAGACACTCTGATTCTAATGGACTAGCCAAGAAAAAGAGAGCTTGGGAGCAAACTTGTGGGTATTTTAGTCCAACCTCCCTATATTGTGGATGAAAACACTGAGGCCAGCAGAGGTTGAAAGTGTGGTCCAAGGACTGGGAAACTTCAAGAGGAATTGTTTGTGATTGTTCTCTCCAAGGATGAAATTGTCAAAATGAGGTTCCACAATGATCAGATGGTGGCCTGGCCATGCATAATCACTAGTTTCACAGATTCCTTGAAAAGAAATTTCTCATCCTCACTCACCCTACAGAAGCACGTCATATTCAGTCCAGCTGGGAAAACCATCACTCTCAAGGTCACTCAGCTATTGGAAGAGGTTTCATATAAAAAACAAAGCTGAAGTTGCCTTAGCATTGTCAGTGTGGATAAATAGGGTCGTTGGGCTTCAAGGATACGTCCCTATTTCTTAGTTTCTCCTCCTTTTTTAATCCAAAAAGCCCAGTTGTGATAACTTCCAGCACTCGACGATAAATTGTCACACCTGACAAGGAGAGAAGAGCAGAGGATATTTTTATAGGTGCTGAGTGGAATGGGCTGAGATGTTTTGTTCTTTGAAATTTGATTGTTACTTGAAATTTCCAAATTGCATGGCCAAAAGCAATCTCTTCAGGAAATGGCAAAGATTTAAGTTTTCAGGTGTGTGAGCATCCACCTCTGCTGTAGTAGGAACATGATGTGCAAAGTCTCAGTTGGGACACAGCAACCTGATTTTTTTCTCTTGACCCTCACCCTGTGGTCTGTTCACTCACACCTAGGAACGCTTGTTAGGTACATTTAACTCCGAGGCTTGGAATCGAAGACCAGGAAGGCTTTCATTTGGCCAGGTCACTTCCCCTCTGGACCTCACTTAGATCAGAAATCTCAAACTGGGCCCTTTGGGGACTCCAGGAGCAGGTAAGAGGCGTGACCTAAATGAGGACAGAAGCCAGCGGATAGAGTTCAGCGGTACACAAGAGGCCCTTCCTTAGCAGGTATCTTTAAATATCTTAAGAGAAAAGGCATGTAGACCCTGCTCCTCTACCAGCTCCCACCAAAGTAATTTTGCTTTTATCTGTTTCATAAATTAGATTTCCACCAAAGATCATGTTTTACTACTCCATTGCAAAAATAAATAAATAACTAAAATAACACTAGATAGGATAGATGACATCTAAATGCCCTCCTAGACAATGATTTTATGAGAAATGAGCATTACAAACAGGGAATGAAAGTACTTTTATTTCTGCCTTGAGCACCACTGAAATGACAGAAAAGGAATTAGCTGATAGAAACCTACAGGAACTAAGGGCATGGGAGGAGGTGGGAGCGGGTGAGAGCTGTTAGTGAATTGGAGAAGACAGAAAACAGATGGCTCCGTGGTAAGTGAGTTCGAAACCAGAGAAAGATTATGAATCAAGAAAGATTATTTGGGAAATTAACTGCACTTTTAGAAGTCGTCAGCGGAATGATATTGACCTTGGTAAACTATATTTAAAAAAAAACGTGTTGTAGGTCCAAACTGGGTGTTGCCCCGCAAGTAATTAGACTAAAGCAGATGCTTCAAATCCTCTGTACCTCCCAAGCTTCCTGTAGTTTGTTGATATGTCTGATCGGTTGGATTTTTTAAAATTGCTAGCCCTCAATTCTTCCACCGAACCTTGGTAATAACTATTTAATCTCTTCTAAACAATGTGACTGATGCAGACCAGAAAAGACATCAGCTTCTGAATCCCTTAGAAACTTTCTTTGCTTAAGCTCTTCAAACCCTAAGCCGTGAAGTGTGGGCATGACTGACAGCCACTTAACCTTGCTCTATTATGCTTTTCACCTTGACAGAAAGGAATTTCTCATGATAATTAGAATAATTTCAACATAGTGTTTTCTCTTTGGATACTGACAGGTTGGAGGGGGGGGCGTATTTGGATCATAAATAACTCAGATCATTTTGATGTGCATGCATGATATGTTGCCACTGTGCCTTCTTTGTATATACTGGAGAAATTTAGTCATTTCTTTAAGTTCTTTAACTTGAAAAGATGCAGGTGATTCAGAATTAATGGCAATTTACAGAGAACCTGCTGTGTCTGCTATGCAGACACTCATCTGGCAGGTGTGTGGTGATGGGAAGAGAAAAGAGGAAGAGCTTTGTAATACAAATAATTTCCTACAACAGTATTATCAATCATTCCTAGCAGTATACTCTGAGCAGAGAACATTCTGTATATTACTACTACCTAGGAAAAATAGTCCAGTAATCATGTCCCTAACTACAGGAGAAACTCAGCAAACATGCATTCATTTGTTAGTCACACATCAGTTTCCTCACTGTTAGTATGGTTCATAGAAGGAATGGTGTTAGATTCTGAGGTTCCAGTGTTGTGCTGAGTCTAGATCTTGCCATGAAAGCCTTAGGATTTTGGGGGTGCACCAAGACAGGATCAAAACAACTATGTCAGAGAGTAAGGGTTCAGAAAATGGAAGGTGGTTTTTAGTTGGGGAGATAGAAGACATCAAGGATGTTCATGGAGAAGGTCACACCTGATATAAGATAGATCGTTCTAGATGCAAGGATACATTTGGCCATGAGGAGATGGGGAGCAGAGGCCTGCAGGGGGAAAGGAAGGCGGAGGAAGAGCGCAGAGACGAGGTGGGGTCAGAGCAAGGGGGTCGGCTCAGTCTGTGAGCAGGAGGGCTCACTCACACAGCAAGTTGGCAGCGGGCCCCAGTTCCCCTCCCAGTTGCTCACAGGACTGCCTGAACAACCTCAAGGTGACTGAGGTTGAACATTGGGGGTGGTTGCTAGACCCCTGCCACCTCAGGCATCTGGCTATGACCCCCGCTTCTGCCAGGATGGATTCCGTACGATCACCACACCTCCTCCATGTCTGATGTAAGTCTGGGCAGGATGTCTCTATAGACAGAGGCTGATCCTGTGCTGTACCCGAACACCAGTGGAGCTGGGAAAGTGAGTGTCAGGCATTGGTAGTACTTAGTGGGAGCTGGGGTCTGCCTCACACAATAGAGGATTCTCCTAATGAGGGCAGGAGAATGTGAGGCCAAAAATATTAATGCATAACTAATCTTCTTGTTATAAGGATAGGATGTAAAAATGCCTTAGAGATGGGGAAGGAGAGAGGGCTCCTAGGGTTTTTTGTGGATATGACGCCTCTTTTGACTGTCACAGGAGTAGATGAGTCAGGATAATTATTTGTCCCTTTTTTTCTGTGCTACGGACGGTAGAGGGAGCCATTTGCTTCTGAAGCTGTGCTCAGGATTGCCTCTCAGGAAAGGTGAGAAGGTGTCCTTTGTTCTCACCTGAACAGAAAACCATGGAGCCCAGGATCCTGCTTGCAGAACCAAAACTAGGTTCTGGATCCTGCTTAGCCGAGAACTCAGTGAGTCTCGAATGCCACTCAGGTTGATCTGGAAGAGGTGCTAGGGACCCAGGCCCCCCGCCACCCATATCAGCCCCAGAAGCAGCTCTGAAATGCCCGGAGGTGTGTCTCATTGCATGCAACACAGATGGGGAAGGTGGCTGCTTCTGAACCCCAATAAATGAACCCATGAACCTGGCCACTGGAACTTGAGAGACTCCTTGTTCTGGCAGGGGCCACATGGCACTGTTCTTTCTGGCAGTAGGTTAGTTTCTATCAGCCTGACAATGTAAACTTTTTTACTCAACAAACATACTTCTAGGAATTTACGTTAAAGAAGTAAATCAGTTTTAAATAAAGATAAATACACAAAGATTCTCATGGCATGTTGTTTACAATTGTGGAAGTTGGAATCAAAATAAACCCCTAAAAATCAGGAGGGCTAATATCTCTTCTAGTGCAAGAAGTTCTTTATAGTTTACAAAGATAATAATGTAGTTACGTTTTCTTTCTTATGTTTTTATTTATGCATACAAGAGCTGGGGTACAGGCCAGAGATGTGGGGAGGTGAGAGGATTAACCAGAGACAGAGTAGGGAGCAGAACAGGCAGACTGACTGAAATACACTGCTGCGGGGAGCAGTGGATAAGACAGGAGAGGTCTGCTGCACCATGTGGGTCAGCTCCCTGGCTGGGGATTGAACTGGAGCTGCAGTGGCTATGGATAGCTTCATAGTGCGGTGACTTAACCCCTTGCGCCACTAGGAGGCCCAATGTAGTTACATTTTCAATGGCATGAAGGTATATAAAGTAATAATCTAAAAAAAAAAAAAAAAAGTTGTTTCTTTTTTTAAAGTTTTGTATACTAAACTATAAGCTGGCATACGCACACTCACACACACATTTGGAAATAGTGTTACTAGTTGTTCTCTGAGCAACTTTCCCTTCTGTGTTTTCTAATGTCTGCAGTGATCATGGGTGACTTAAACGTGCTTACTGTATGCTAAGAAGAGGGAATCTCACATGCTTTTACCTGAAATATTTTAGCCAGCCCAACCTGCTCTTATTAAAAAGCTGGCTTTGTTTCTAAAGCTATGATTCTCCCCGTTGGCAGCCTAGAATAATGACACCCCCTGGCAGGCACTGTCTCCCTGGGGCCACCAGCATACCTGGGAAGGTCAGGGTCTGGACCTGCGCTTACACCTACAGTTCATATCAATCCCAAATCAGACACGCTCTCCTTTTTTTTTTTTTTTTTTTTTAACCGCTCTGCTGTTTTCAGAGGTCTCTTCTGGAATATTCAAAGAGAAATGAACATTGAACTCCTGTTGTTTTTTTTATCTTCCAACCAATTCAGTTGAGTATTTGTTGTGTGAAATAGTCTTGTAAAAATAGAAATTTATTTATTTCCTATCTTCTGGTATTTATCATCTCTCCCTTGAGCAAGTTTCCTTTTCCAAGCTGACCCACTTTTTTCCCAGTGAGTTTAATTTTGGTGGAAGCAATGGGGGTGCAATTTATTTCTTGAGAAGTTGCCCCATGCAAAGCACAGGGACAGGAAGACACCGCCAG